AACACCGAGTTGCTTGCAGGGCTATCAATTTGGTCATTCGTCGGATGCCTGCGTGTACACTTATGCCAACAATCTCCGTTCTGGCCAAGGCACAGAAAAGCAACCACAGTATCATCTTATGGATTCCATTGAGGTAGTTGATGCGACAGGAGAAAAAGCGGAAGGAGCAGAAGGTGGCTTAAACGAAGCTGAACACATGTCAATGGAGACCCTCGGCACGCAAAATAGCATTGCTAAACACTCCAGTAAAAGCATACGTGAATGCAGTGCTACAGGAGAACACCACCTGGAAGACCTTAAAGACAAGCAGCCTGATAACGAGGAACAAGAAGCAATTTATAGCGGTCTGACAAGAAAGCGACAGGTACCAGTCACCGATGAAGCAACAACGAGTGCTCCAGACACGACAGAGCAACTGTCTTCCTGTGGTTTACGTGTCGCCTTCTTTGGGGACTGAGGGACGCGCTTATGCCAGCGTCCTCAAGAAAGTGCTCCTGAAAAATACAAAGAAGGTAAAGCCACATGTTGCCCTGTGGCTAAAGGTAATCTACAAATGTTTTAGGATAGCAAAATGGCTACCACCCTAATGTTTCCCATGAGTGTAGTGACACTCAACGTACGTGGCTTGAGGAAGGTAAGGCGTCAGTGACAGTTGCGCCACGTGCTTGAGCAGTACAGCATTGAAGTAGCTGCAGCGAAAAAGTCTAAGATTTCGGCTTCTCGTGACAGCGAACTTGCACTGGGAGTTTCCTATAATTACATTTTATACATCAGCCAAGCACGTGGTGCTTGCGCTGGATGCCTTTTTATTGTTTATAAAGCGCTTGAATCATACTTTGACATCGCTACATGTTGATGGGGAAGGACGCCTCATTTTTCTGACTTTCCTTTTCATTCCGATTATTGAAGGTTCATTTGTGTTTCTGCTCCCTCCAAATAGAGTGACAGGAATGCTTTTTGTCCTCTCTTTAACATCGCTGCTAAACACAGACAGAACTTTAGTAGTTTTCGGAGACTAGATATGTGTGTGTGACTCGAGAGATCATTCATATAAAACAAATTGTTATGATGCAGGTGCAACTTTTATGCAGAAATTATTGAACGACCACAATTTAATAGATGTGTAAGCGCATGCACCTTCCTCGGTGAGGTTCACGCACTTTCACAACATCTGTCATGCTTGGCTCGAACTTGTGTATGAATATATAGGCCTATGGTCTCGCATTCACAATTATGCTGTAAAGCGCATATTGTTTTACACGCCATTGCTTGGGCACCGTTTCTTGCGTTCCTGAAAATTTTCGTAATACCCCTACAAACTAGGACCGATAGAAGCTTAACCTACAGCTGTTACGCGAAGATATTTTTGTTAAAATGGTAAGAGAATTGGCACAAGAGATAACACAGTAAAGACAGCTGCCAATTTTCTCTCAACGGGAAAGGTTAAAAAATAGGGAAGTATCAAATGATTACTATTTCATGTGAAATATCTCAAAGAGAAAAGGCGGAAAAACAATATCTTTATGATTTTCTCTATAAGTTTCATACTTTTAAAAGTCACCAGCCGGATTCATACGTTAATGCGATAAATGCGATTCTTGCATGAATACAAAAACACGATACAGATTTATACAGAGAAGCAAAGCTTCGTTAACGTGTTACCCATTTCACTGAAGGGAATCCCACTAAGAAATTTCTCGGGGATGAAAAGAGATATGCACTTTGTTAACAGATACTGCCAATTGAGTCACGTTGTTCTCTTTGCAAAAATACATGTGTAATAAAAGACGGATTTGAAGATTGCTACAAAATGATGTTGTTTTAGCGCAGCTCAGTTTGAGCGCGAAGGAAATATAATATCCAGTCAAGAAGGAGGAAGACGCATGACAGTGTGAGTGCTGTCAGCTGTCTCAGTAGCGCTCACACTGTCGTTTGTTTTTTCCCCCTCGTTACTGTATAGTATCTTTCCTTCACGCTCAAACTCAGCAGCGCTAAAGCAACATCATTTTATAATGCACGATCTCGCCTAGTCACCAGTACTTGTCGATAATTTCAAAAGTTTGTTCACCGCGGCAGACCTTCAGGAGAATTTCCAGGAAGAAGCTGACCACTTCGTTGCCCTTGTGCCTCAGTTACAAGATGATGATAGACACACTGCTGATAAGCGCATAACCTGAGAAGATATTAGCTTTGTATTAGCAATATCGCCGAAGAACAAAACCTCTGGCCCAGATGGCCTTCGTGGCGAATGTTTCATACTGTGATGAGCGAAGAAAACGACAACGACGGAAGTGTGGGGCAAGGCGCGTGTAATGTGCGCGTGGGTGTCAGCGAATCAGCTGATGACCTGTGGTGGCCCATAGAGGTGGCGTGCCACGATTGGGCCACGTACGACCATTACGTGGCAGTAGGCTGTGTGGCTGGGGACGAGCCCGAGCAGCGGCAGACGGGAGACAGCGGGCCGAAGCGTCGGACGCAGGTGATCCAGGTTCCGGCCAGGGAACGCGGCCGTCCACGCTGCTGCCGTCCAACTACCAGCTGGGGCGGCATTGCCGGCACGAGTACTGCATCTCGGGGCACGGCCTGGCCTGCTGTTCTCTTCCTTGCCGAGGGCATCGCGGATCTCGGCGAGGCGTCTCCACGGTCAGCCGTTCGACACAGCGATGAACGTGGCCTGGCTAATGGTCACGGATGCGTCGAGCATCGCGTCTCGGCGCACGCTCTTCGCTGGACGGGCTGGCCATGCCCCGCATGGAGCATCGCGTCTCCGATGGCCGCGTTCCCTGGCCGGAACCTGGATCACCTGCGTCCGACGCTTCGGCCCGCTGTCTCCCGTCTGCCGCTGCTCGGGCTCGTCCCCAGCCACACAGCCTACTGCCACGTAATGGTCGTACGTGGCCCAATCGTGGCACGCCACCTCTATGGGCCACCACAGGTCATCAGCTGATTCGCTGACACCCACGCGCACATTACACGCGCCTTGCCCCACACTTCCGTCGTTGTCGTTTTCTTCGCTCATCACACATACCATTTCTGGAAATTCTAATACCTTTCTATGAGGAAATTTTTAAAAAGCCTTATGAACGTGAAGTTCCTCCTTATTTCTATCAGGCCCATACAACATTATTCCAAAAAAGTACTGATCCTGGCGCATTAAGGAGATTCAACAGATATAGGCCTATGTCTTTATGTAGCCTGGACTACAAAATATTTTCGAAATTTATAAATGTATAAGTGACCACAAAACCTGTGTATTCGTGGTCGCTCTATACAAACATTTATATTGGATAGTCAGTCTTTGATTGTATTGATCGTAGCATGAACCTAGTAGCCCTTCTTCTAATAGACCATGCTAAAACATTTGATAAGGTACAAAATTCTTTTTTTGTACAGGCTCCTAGGACAACTGCGATTGGATGATGTACTGTAAAATGTTATTTCACTCACTTATAAGAAGGGCACAACCAGGCTAATTGTAAATCACACATTTTCCAATATATTAGAGTTAAATTTTTCTTAACGTCAGGGATGTCCGCTCTCATCTTTGCTTTTTGCAACTTTTCTGTAACCATTGTGTTTAAGTGTGCTTCTAAAGTCTAGCATAAGAGGCTACGATATGATGCTCAGGAAGTTAAAGTTCTAGCTTATGCAGATGACATTGCTTTCTTTTGCGTTGATAAACTCAGCGTTCAAGAAGCAGTTAACACTAGTTTACGTTTCTGTGAAGTCGCTGGCGCCAGCATAAATTTTGATAAAAGTAGTGGATTCTGACTAGGCATGTGGACCCACACTCTTTCGATCCTCGCAATTATCTATTGGAATGCGACTCCTATAAAGTACCTTGGTGTGCCTCTCAATATATATCGTAACAGCGGCTCACACTGGACCGCTGCGATAAATACGATCCGCCGAAAGGTGGAAACATGGTATGAAGGAGAGCTTTCCTATTTTGCGAGAGCGAAAGCGTACAATATACTCCTTGCGTCAAAGCATATTTATATTTTGCAGGTGTTGCACTGCTCTCGTGTGCATATTGAAGCCTTTCATAGGATATTTGCTTGCTTTATTTAGAGCTATTGTTGAGAACCTATGAGAACCGACAATCTTTTTTTCCGCTTGAAAAGGGTGGCCTCGGCGTTGCGAATTTGTTCGTGCAACAGTTGGTGTTGCGGTTTTTCGACCTCAAGGAGGTGTGCCACCCTTTTTATGAACGGTTCTTCAAAACCGTTTATGTTGCCAATTTCCTTTTATATATCAGAAATTGTTGGTATACTGCCAAATTTTTAAAAGGCAAGTTTCGCTTAGAGTATTTGTATCCTACTGACAGAACAAATTTAACCACTGCACTTGTGACTAACCTATGCCCAGAGCCCATTTATTGAAAGCCATATTGAATTTTGTCTGGTCACGATGTATTATTTCATGTACGTAGAATGTGGATTTCTCCTTCAGCGAAAACATTTTATAACTGCACACTTCCACTCTGCGAGTGAAAACGTGGCTGAATGAAAAATCAATATATGTACCCTAGACAGTGAACCTGAGACGATAGAGCATTGTTTTATTCATTGTCCTGACGCATTTAATTTTTGCAACATTCCAAAAAGAACAATAAGGAAAGAAGTTTCAATCACAGCTCATGGTAACAGGTTCCTCCCTTTCAAAAAGCCCCTGACTGATAATACTCTATATGACCTGTTTATGTTGTTGGGACTGTACTCACTATGAAAAGTCGCATAATTATTAGACACACTGAGCCACCATGGTCAATCAGATTCGTTTTCCGAGAAGCAGCTGCTCAAGTGCGCAGTGTTGTTGAGACTTTTGGCCCCGTTTCGGAGTGGCTTCCCCTTCTTGACGCTTGCGTGTGTTTGCCTGACTTCTGATGAAGTATGTTGTGCGTAGTTCACTGGTTCACTGGTGAGGATTTTATGCATTAAAGTAAAGAAGTAAATAAGGGAAGAGGAAGAAGAAGCCGCACCGATCGGCTGCGTTCCAAAATGCTCTCTGCTGGTAACAGCGTATCGGCCAACGGCCGAGGATCATCGACTCCGTTTCATGATGAAGACTCAAGCTATAAAGTCGTCCTGCCACGTCTTCCAACCGGTAACGATGTTTTGAATTCCGTTTTCCTTCATGCCGACATGAGTGGTAGGCCGTACCGTGCACCAGACTTCCGTGACGCGCTGCTTAAAGTGGTGAGCCCAGCGGACATTATTGGAGTTGGCCAGTATCAAATGAGCCATGTATGGATGGTACGTGTGCAAACAGCATGGCGAAACAGAAACTCGTCACTTGTGGTGAGCTCCGTGTAAAAGGGCTGAAGTGCATGGTGCTAGATCCGGAGACCAAGAATATTAGGCTGAAGCTACTTTGGCTTCCGCCTCATCTTGAATCGCGACGTGTTGAAGAGGCGTTCCAAGCTTACGGCGTTGTGAAGTCCGTTGAAAGAGAGGCATGGAGAAGTGCAGGAATGGAACAATGCATGACAACAAATAGAGACGTTGCCTTAGAGCTCAAGGACACTATCACTGTGAGCTCAATACCACACCTTATGTCAATCTATGGCCACCAACGCCTCGTACTTATTCCCGGTAGGCCTCCACTGTGTCTTCGTTGCAAGCGAGTGGGGCATGTACGACGACAGTGCAAAACACCGAGGTGCTTGCAATGCCAGCGTTTTGGTCACTCGTCGGATACCTGCGTGTCGACTTATGCCAACAAACTCCGTTCTGGCCAAGGCACAGAAGACCAACGTCTCGATCATCTTATGGATGTCACTGAGGTAGTTGATGCGACAGGAGAAGCAGCGGGAGGAGCAGAAGGTGCCTTAAAGGAAGCGGAACACTTGTCCATGGATACCCTTGGCACGCAAAATAACACCGCTAACGACGCCAGTGAAAGCATAAATGAATGCAATGCGGCTGACGAACACCACTTGGAGGGCCTTAAGGACAAGCCTCCTGACAATGAGGAACAAGAAGGAATGGATTGCAGACAGACAAGGAAGCGTCAGGCACCGGTCATCGATGAAGCAACAACGAGTGCGCCAGACACGACAGAGCAACTGTCTTCGTGTGGTCCACGTGTCACCTTCTTTGGGGACCCAGAGACGCGCCGCCTATGCCAGCGTCCTGAAGAAAGTGCTCCTAAAAAGTGCAAAGGAGGTAAAGCCACAGGTTGGCCTGTGGCTAAAGGTGACCTACAAAAGTAGTAAGATATCAAAATGGCTACCGCGCTAACGTTTCCCATGTGTGTAGCGACACTCAACGTACGTGGCTTGAGGAATGTAAGGCGTCAGTGGCAGTTGCGCCACGTGCTTCAGCAGTACAACATTGATGTACTTGCAGTGCAAGAGACTAAGATTTCTGCTGGTCGTGACGCCGATCTTGCACTGGAAGTTTTCCGTAATTGCAATTTATACATCAGCCCAGCACGTGGTGCATCCGCTGGATGCTTTTTATTAATCACAAAGCCCTTGAATCATATGTTGCCGTCACTACATGTTGATGGGGAAGGACGCCTCATTTGTTGCGACTTATCTTTTCATTCCCATAATTGGAGGTTTATCTGTGTCTATGCTCCCTCCAAAGTGAATGAAAGGAATTCTTTTTTCCCTTCTTTAACTTCGCTACTAAACACTGACAGAACTTTGGTAGTTTTTGGAGACTTTAATTGTGTTTGTGACGCTAGAGATCATTCATATATAACAAATCGTTATGATGCAAGTGCAGCCTTATTGCAGAAACTATTGAATGACCACAATTTAATAGATGTGGCAGCACATGCACCTTCTTCGGTGAGGTTCACGCACTTTCAAGGCATCTCTCATGCTCGGCTTGACCGTGTATATGTACCTCTAAGCTTATGGTCTCGCATTCATAATTATGCTGTAAAGCCCATATTTTTTACAGATTATTGCTTGGTCACTGTTTCTCGGGGTCCTAAAAATTTTCGTAAAACCCCTCTAAACTGGGACCTATGGAAACTTAACGTACAGTTGTTGCGCGAAGATTGTTTTGTTAAAATAGTAAAAGAATCGGTACAAGAGGTAACACAGTGTCGACAGCTACCAATTTTCGCTCCATGGGAAAGGTTCAAAGAAAGAGTAAAGTATCAGGCAATTAGTATTTTATGCGAAATAGCGCAAATAAAAAAAGCCGAAAAGCGCTATCTTTATGTATTACTTCATAAGCTCCATACTTTTGAAAGTGAACAGCCGGGATTGTACGGGGACGAGATAAATGTGATTCGAGCACAGATACAAAAACATGATACAGATTTATACAGAGGAGCTAAGATTCGTTCCCGTGTTACCCATTTTACTGAAGAGGAACCCACTAAAATATCCCTCGGGGATGAAAAGAGATATGCACTTTCTAAACAGATACAGCAAATTGAGTCGCGGGGTTCCCTTTGCACAGAGACATGTGAAATAAGAGCCGCATTTGAAGATTATTACAAATGTTTGTTCACCGCGGCTGAGCTTCAGGAGAATTTTGAGGAAGAAGCTAACCACTTCATTGCCCTTGTGCCTCCGTTACAAGATGATGATAGACTCCCTGTAGAGGGGCCAATAACCAGAAAGGAAATTAAATTTGCAATAACAACGTTGCAGAAAAACAAAACTCCTGGCCCAGATGGCCTTAGTGGCGAATTTTACATAGCTTTTCAGGAACTTCTGATACCTTTCCTTGAGCAACTTTTTAAAGAAGCTTATGACCGTGGTGAACTTCCTCCTTCTTTCTGTCAGAGCCATACAACATTAATCCCAAAAAGTGCTGATCCTAACGCATTAAAGGGATTAAACGAATACAGGCCTATATCATTATGTAACGTTGACTACAAAATATTTGCTAAATTGTTGACAAATCGGCTACGGAGAGTGATTACTAAATGTGTAGGTGACCACCAAACATGTGGAATTCGTGGTCGCTCTATACAGACAAACATTCATATTGCACGTTCAGTTCTTGAGTGTATAGATGGTAGCATGGACCAAGTAGCCCTCCTTCAAATAGACCTTGCAAAAGCATTTGATAAGGTACAGCATGCTTTTTTGTTCCGGCTCCTAAGACACCTACAGTTGGGTGATGTACTATACAATGGTATCTCACTTTGTTATAAGAAGTGCACTACTAGGCTAATTGTAAATCGCATACTTTCCAATATAATAGAGTTAAATTCATCTGTACGTCAGGGATGTCCGCTGTCACCTTCGCGTTTTGCAATTTATCTGGAACCATTATGTTTAAGTGTGCTTCTAAAGTCCAGCATAAGAGGCTACCGATATGATGCTGAGTAAGTTAAAGTTCTAGCTTATGCAGATGACATTGCCTTCTTTTGCGCTGATAAACCCAGCGTTCAAGAAGCAGTCAACACTACTTTACGTTTCTGTGAAGTCGCTGGCGCCAGCATAAATTTGGATAAAAGTAGTGGATTCTGGCTAGGCATGTGGGCTCCAACTCCTTCGGTCTTCGCAAATATTCATTGGAATGCGACTCCTATGAAATACTTTGGTGTGCCTCTCGATAACTATCGTAACAGTGGCCCACACTGGACCGCTGCGATAACTACGATCCGCCGAAAGGTGGCAACATGGCACGGACGGGAGCTTTCCATTTTGGCCAGAGCGAAAGCGTGCAATATATTCCTTGTATGGAAGCTTATTTATATTCTGCAGGTGTTGCATTGCTCTCGGGTACACATTCAAGCCTTTCATAGAATATTTGCCTGCTTTATTTGGAGCTCTTCCTGGGAACCCATGAGAAGAGACAATCTTTTTCTTCCACTCGAAAAGGGTGGCCTCGGCCTTGTGCATTTGTTCGTGCGACAGTTGGTGTTGCGATTTTTCTACCTCAAGGATGTGTGCCACCCATTTCTATTAGCGGTTCTTCGTAACCGTCTATGTTACCACCTTCCTTTTATTCATGTCACAACAAGCGTTGCTAAGGAATTGCCGTTGCGGGGATTCCTAAAAGAAATTGTTGATACTGTCAGTTTTTTGAAAGCCAGGTTTACCTTAGAGTATTTGTATACTATTGACAGAGCAAATTTAACCGCTGCACTTGTGAATAATCTTTTCCCCGAACCTGTTTATCGAAAGCCATCTTCGCTTCTGTCTGGTCATGATGTATTATTTCGTGTACGTAGAATGTGTATATCTCCTTCAGCGAAAACATTTTTCTTTAAACTGCACACTTCCACGCTGCCAGTGAAAACGTGGCTGAATGAAAAATCAATATACGTACCCTGGACAGTGAATTGCAGACTCTGTAACCAATCTGAGACTATAGAACATTGTTTTATTCATTGTCGTGATGCATTTTACTTTTGGGACATTCTACAAAGATCGTTAAGAAAAGAACTTACAATCACAGCCCATGGTATTAGGTTCCTTCCGTTCAAAAAGAGTCTGACTGATAGTACTCCTTACGACCTGTTTATGTTGTTAGGACTTTATTCATTATAGAAAAGTCGCATGATCGATAGACACGCCGAGCCACCACAGTCGACGAGATCTGTCTTCCGAGAAGCAGCTGCTCAAGTGCGCAGTGTTGTCGAGACTTTTGACCCCGTTCCGGAGTGGCTTCCCGTTCTTGACGCTTGTGTGTGTTTGCCTGACTTCTGATGAAGTATGTTCTGTGTACTTTACTGGTGATAATGTCATTCAATAAAGAAAAAAAGTAAATATCATGGCTTCGCGGTAGGACACCCGCTTGCCATGCGAACGGCCCGGGTTCAATCCTCCATAGTACCGAAAATTTTATTCCTTGTTTTATTTGCTTAGTTCTCAATTTTTCGATCACGGACAATTTTTTGCTCAGAACCAACGGTGCCGACGCCAACGGCGGGATTTCTACGACACGAGCTCTCTAACGCTGTCGTGTTAATATTAGCCTATTAGCACCAAGAACGAACGCTGGCGTCGCTGTGGTCACGGTGCTTGCTCCACCAGCGCTTGTCGCCTTTTTATGCACCCGCCGGGTACACGCTCTTTAGCGATACGTTGTTGATTACTCCTTAATTTCTTGACATTAATTTCTCAACATACAAGGTGTAAGGTTTCACCGCTATAGAGTGATAGTTTTTAAACCTATAGAAGTTTTCATAGTTTAGCTCAGGATGGGCATGCTCCCATCCGAAAGGAATATTTAATGCGAACATGGCGATGCAGGAGAAGTCGTTTGTTGTTTTTATCGCGTACACCACAGAATGGGTGCTAAGAAACTATGGCAAGTGGCACTAACGTCAAACAACTAGGCATATACTCCAGGAATAGAACATGTCTGTGCCGCAGTATCGGAAACGAAATTGGGACGTTTTCAATTCAGTAAATACAATGCGCATCACCATGCAATGTACGCCTGCATCTGCGAATTATCAAATGATTTGACAGAACTGCGCATTCTCCAGAAGGAACGTTACATAAATATGACTGTCATAAGCACTCACGCAATATATTTGTCAAACAAACAAAATAATACTGCCGCATACACAATTGCGAAAATATTGAGATATTTTCGTTCACTGGGATCACATGTACAATTTTCTTCTCAACAGTCTCCAAAGATTATGTAGTCTGATACTCTGATTCTCGAGAAATACTGGAGTTTTCTACCACTGCATCACAAACGCTGATGGTTGCTTCACGTGGGAGCACAACTGAGAGCATCGATTTCAACACAAACGTCAAAAAAACGAAATGAACTCTTTCTATGGCTCACTCACGAACGTGTCCCAAGGAATGGCGTCACTACGGGATGGCTCACCTTGCCTGACCCCTACCCTTGACCG